TTCACTATTCAAAAAACAGTAGAGGACAGAGATGAAAATACCCTGAAGGAATACTATAAATAGGGAAGAAAAATTGTTTGGCGACTGCGATTAGTCAAGAAGCCTGTGTCCGAGCAAATCTATCGGATGCGCTACCAACGATAATTCCTTTTGCGACACTACTTAAGGCTGTCCGTCAAAATGAATTCCTTAGCTAATCTTAGGATTAAAATCGCAACTATTCGACATTTCCTAGCATTGCTTCGGCTCTTTGCTACTAATTGCATAATTGCTTCGTTTAGCCGACTTTACTTGCAGCTTGGCGAAAGAGCAAAGCTACGACGTTAAGAAAAAAGGAGTTTTGTTGACTAATTAAAGAGATTTTCTCGTGCTCTATACTCTTCTGATTTTAGGAAAATTAGTGATTTCTACCTGTGAGTTCTGGAAAATTGCGGATCCTAGCATGTAGACGGCACTTCTTTGCTCTGGCTCATAAAACAAGGGAATATTTGAGATTCCAAGCAGTGGAACAAGCAAAAGAGTAGCTTTTATCGTTCGCCTAAACAGAAAAAAAATGTGAAATAGACATAACTACACCAGTATGTACTTTCGAGAAGAAAAAAAGCTAACCAGATTTTTTTAGATTCAGCCGAGTTTTCAGTTCGCAGTTTCTGTACTAGAATGACCACAATCCCGAGTAAAAAAATGAAATTCATCTAAATACACCTAATTATACGAGAGCTTCAGAGTTGTGTAGCATATATATAACAAACAATATGCCTAATATATCAAAGTAGTCTAGAAGTCATAAAACTGAATTTAGTATGGTTGTAAATGACATTGACAACATCGTGTAGTTTTACCGTAGATTTTCAGTAATAACAAGGTGTTTAACAATTTCAGGACAAGGTGTTCCTTAATTACTCACAATAAGAGCGAAGCCCATTGTTCCGGAGAGGATCCACATATGACTTCCTTGAGCATAAGGAAGCCAACAAAAAGAATTTTGTTGTCGTGACTTGTACTCGTGCACCACAGTCCAGCACATCACCACAATCACAGGAACACCTTTAAATAAATTTTTCAAAAAGTTCCCATTGAACCGACTT